CCCCAAAACCCCAAAACCCCATAGTTGTCATATAGTATAAATTGAGCAAGAATGAAATATTTATTATCAATTATTGATATTACTTAATAACCTTAGGGTTCAGAAATGACAGATGTATGCATCTTACTATTTCATCTATCTTTTAGCCAAAAGCTACTTTTGAGGATCCCGAACAAAAGGAATTCGAACTTAAAATGTCTTAGACCATCGAGGCCATGCCTACTGAAGTCAAGGACAGATTCAAGGCTCTCAAAGTTCTCTATGTAAGTAAAAAGCTTTAAGCACAAACAATATCACCTATCAAATTATAAGTGATTGCGGCCATTATTTCCCTCATTGTCATTTATGACTGATATTAACTTAATGAATAGGATTAACAAATGGAGATTGATGAAGAAGAAGAGAAACTATATAGAGAATTAGAGTTGAAGTACGATAAATTGTATTAGGAAGTCTATACTCAAAGAAAATAAATTCTGTTAGGAACTCAGGCACCTCCTGAAGCTCTCTTTGCTGAATATCAAGCAAGAGCAGAGGAACTTTATGACGAGGATTACAAAAAGGTCGAGGTCAATCCTATCGATGTGAAAGATATCCAGAACACTCCCCTCGGAGTCTATGGATTCTGGTTCAAGGCAATGCTAAATCACGTCTTAATGGGCAGACTCATCCAAGAGAAGGATAGACCAATCCTTATGCACCTCTAGGATGTTGAATGTGTTCTTCACACTGAGGGTTACGGCTACGATATCGTCTTCACATTTGAAAAGAACGATTACTTTTCAAACGAGACTCTTAAGAAGACCTTTGTTATGACTAAATAAAACGTGATTGAGAAATGCGAAGGTACTGTAATTGCATGGAAAGACGGTAAAGACGTAACAAAGAAGAAGGTCAAGAAGAAGAACAAGAAGAAGGGCCCAAAATAGAATGTCGTCAAGACTGTTGAACAAGAAAGTTTCTTCAACTTCTTCAAGACCATCGTTATGCCAGATGAAAGTGAACTTGCTTCGAAAGAAGTAGCAGTACCTAAAGAAGGTGAGGAAGAAGAGAAGGATGCTGGTGAGCTTATGGACGCTGACTTTGACATTGGAAATGAATTCAAAGATCAACTCATCCCACTCGCTCTTGAATATTTCCTCGAAGTCATTCAAGAAGATGAAGAAGACTGTGAAGGTTGCAGTGACGATTAATGCGATGATCATAAAAATCCAGATAGTGATGAGGATGATGACCGACCAAAGAAAGTAAAGAGAAAATAATAAAAGGGTGGTGATGCTGCAGCTGCTGCTGGGCAACAAGAATGCAAACAACAATGAAATGACTATCTATTAAGGTTCTTTTATTTTAATTCATCATAGATATATATGTTAGTTTTAATATTTCTTGAAGTAACTCTATTTAAATCATATATTAAGCATCAATCAAACTCGTTTAAGGGCTATTCCTCTACTCTTTCATTGAAGAGTAAGTGGTGCTCTGTATGGTTCATTCCATTGGAGGCTGGTCTTTGGTTTCCATGTCTCTTTCTTAAGATTCTCAGGTGGAACATAACCTCTGTTTTATGGCTTTGTTCCCAATACTGAGAAAGAAGGGTCATTATCAACACTTTAGAGAGATCCTATCATACCAGTGCTATTCATGTATCCAGTGACTCTGTTTTATTTATCAGGGGATCCGTAAGTATCTCTCATCTGATCTTGAAGTTGCTCCTTGGTCAATGGGTTGACTGGGTTAGTCCCAACTAACTCTCTCACCTTATGTTGTGATACAGTTTTTATTGGCTAAACAAAGATATTATTTAAAAATTAGACTATATCTTACTGAGTATCCATCTTCTGATTAATTGATAAATTAATCTCTTTGGTTGTGCTTCTTTTTAGGAGATCCAGATAAGACAGACTATTAACAATATTACTATCTATTTATATTACATTGTCTTCATCGAATTTAGCTCTCTTGCCAATGTTTGAGTCAGTCATTCTGGCCACTGCCTTCTGTGGGTTGATGTTGTGCTGAATATCATCGGAGTGCTCGTTGAGGAAGTTGTAGGAAGTCTTGCACTGAGTGACTTTCTTTGTAGACACAAAGTCTTCCTTATAAAATCTTGGATCATTCTAAAAGTTGTTTAGAAAGTATATTAGTTACATTCAATTGAGAATAATAGGTTTCTCTTTGCTTGGGCTTGGCTTTTGAGTTCCCGAATGTGTTGCTGTTGTTGAAATTGCTTTGCTTTATTTGGTTTGATGACCCTGGTCTGCTGTTGTTTCCATTTTGTATTTGACCTTTTTCACTTGCTCTGCTAGAAGTAGCATCGCTACCTTTTCTCTGAGCAGCATTTTGTGAACTGTGTTGACTTTGAGAGGCTTGCATCTATAAAATGATTAGTATTCTGAAGATTCAAGGGAATGATTTATGGTGGATGGGTGCGCGCATTCATTACCTTTAAAGTATATTTTATTTCTGAGAATTAAAATTATAGAAAAAAACAATGAATATTTAATTAACTGATCAAACCATTCTATCTTTCTGTAGGGGTTTTGGGGTTTTGGGGTTAAGAATGGCAATTTGGA